CTGCGGGTGGCACCAATAGCGCTGCATCACCTATAGCTCTCTGCTCTTACAGTTCTCATGCTGTCTGAGCAGTCCTCGTGGCCTCACAACTCTCTCATGCCACACGTGCCACATTCTGAGGCACAGAATATATATTGCACTACTTCAAACGCCTTTTTTTTTTAATGTAATGATACTAGGGATAATCATCTGGAGCTAGAGCAATATGAAAAAATTCCCTTTAGTTCAACCATAAGTCTGCCCCATGGACTCCAGAAGAGCTCTAAGAATACGCAGGGTGGACATGGATGGCAGCTGCCATAAGAGTAAGCAATGAAAAATGAGGTTGGGAGCCACGCTGTGTCATTGCATCTGCGGGCAGGGATTTCTCCTTGGACTGAGCAGAGTGCAGATGTCACCTGAGAAAAGAACTTAGGATCATTCAGGAAAAGCAAATGAGTTGAGTAATTAATTGAAGAAACTCACGTTCTAAAGGTACTTAGAAGGAGAGAGTATTTCCCAACAGAATGGGTTTAACTGTCCATTCCCTGTTTTGCTAGACAGGTCTACTCTATAGATGCTTAGACTGACCTGAGAGGGCATGCTTCAGCACACCCCACACCACTGCATTAGAGTGTGCTTTTGTGCACATGTGTATTTAGAGACATCGCTAAGAATTTCATTGGTCCACCCAATCCTTAAGCAACTCAGTAATTCAAGACACCTAACAAGGATGGAGGCTCACTGGGCCATGGGCAAAGCAGGGAGGACAGAGGCAGGAAGCAGGAAGGAGTTCAACTCCAGCTCTCCCCCACAAGAGACTGGGAGAGCTGAGTCAGCACCACGGGAGGAGTTACGACACGGCTTGGGAGCTTACAGAGAGGCCTGAGATTGCCAAAGGACGGCACCAGGGTAACTCTCACCAGTCCTGTGCAGGGGTTTCATGGATGCTTGGGATGCTGACTTCCACTGCCTGTGTCATTGGTAGGAAGTCCAGGTGACAAAGGCTCCTTCTGTCTGGGTAACGCTTCTATGGTTCCATGGTTATGACTGGAAAAAAATTAAAAATTAAAATTTAAAAAAAATAAAAAATAAAAAAAAATAGCATGCAACGTTGTAAAATTTACCTCTCTGCTCTTCTTGTCAGCACGACATCTAAGATGAGCATTACACGTCCCTGCATCTGATTGAAAAGACATCCAAGCCTATGTTCCACACAGCTTCATCTCAGCGCCAAGAAGAAACACACACACAGACGTTTACAAGATTCTTTGCACAGATGAAAAGCATGGGGTGCACGTGTATTCTCTTCAGTAATAAATGGTAATGTAGAATCCAAAGGTAACTTTTCAAGAACTAGATGAAAGAAAGAACAATGAAAAGGAAATATGGGATTAACTATTTTCATCTAAAAAAATCCTTGCTAAACCTCTCCCCTTACACCTTACACTGCAAAACTTGGCACATTCTTTTTGTCAACAGGCCCCTCATTCTCTAACTGGTGTCAGATTCACTCAAAATCCATGCACCAGAACGGCCATTCAGTCCTGCTGAGGTAGGAACCCACTGCTGGGATGTCCCCCAATCCCATTCCCTGTTATTTCCAGCATCGGGGGGGGGGAAAGGAAGAGCAACTGACTTCACCTACCCAGGCTTCTGCGAGGCCTTCGATACGGCCACACATCACAGGGAGAAGCATGGGGGAGAGCTCTGGTGGCTGCACAAACCAAGGTTGCCCCTACGATGGTGCTTTATAACAACATGCCTTACTGCACATGAGACACGAAAGACAAGGTTAAGGTTAAAAAGACTCCACTCTCCGTGGATGTGGCTGTCTGCACAGACAACAGCTGCCTACTGTCCAGCAGCCTGATGCTCACCCACCAAAGCTCTCACCAGCAGATGCCTTTCATGGAATCATAAAATTAGCAAGGTTGGAAAAGATCTCTAAGATCATCCAGTCCAACTGTCCACCTGCCACCACCATTTCCCACTAAGCCCCTTATGTCCCTCAGGACAACATCTAATGTTTCTTGAACACCTGCAGGGACAGTAACTCTATCACCAACCTGGGCAGCCCGTTCCAGCGTCGGACCACTCCTGTGGAGAAGTGTTTCTTAACATCCAGCCTCAATCTCCCCTCGTGCAACTTGAGGCCGTTCCCCCCAGTCCTATCGCTGCTTACATGGGAGAAGAGGATGAGCCCTACCTCCACATGACCTCTCTTCAGCTAACTGTAGAGAGGGATAAGGTCTGCCCTGAGCCTCCTCTTCCCCAGACTAAATAATCCCCATTCCCTCAGCTGCCTCCCCATAACACTTGTGCTCTACACTCCTCACAGCTTCACGGCTCTTCCCTGGACACATTTCAGGGTTCCAATGTCTTTCATGTAGTGAGGGACCCAGAACTGAACACAGCACTCAAGGTGAGGGCTCACCAGAGCTGAGTACAGGGGATGATCACTTCCCTGCTCCTGCTGGCTCCAGCCCTTTGCACTGCATTTCCAATCTCAACCATCCCTTCTGCGGTAGCGCTTGCATCCTCACTTAGGGCTGGAGCTCAAGAGCTCAACGCAACAGGAAGAACACAGCGTGCAACTGGAAGATGCATCTCAAAGCTGACAAGAGTCACCTCTCTGACCTTGGGCACAACTCACCAACCGAGAGCCAGGCATTGCAAACTTGGCTCATCTGAGCACATCAGAGGGGGCTGCACATCAGACCACAAGCATCCATTGCAATTGCAGCTCCACGTAGAGAAGAACAACAATTAACATGCGTGAATGAATTCACTCACAAGCTGCACAAATTTGTTCTTCATTAAAAAACCCACATGGATTCCTACGCAAAAAAAGAACAGCAAGAGCTAATAGTGATGGAAGAGGTTCCTGGTCCTAAGCCTCATCCTCTTACCCCAGTTTTCCTTGCCTCGTACCCTACCCCAATTCCTGGACGATGCCCACAGACTTAAACTCAGACCTCAACTCCATGAGCTGAACATGAACAAATCTACCCCAGAGCAACAGGATGGCAGACACACAGCGGAAGACAACCAACCTGCAGAAGGAGCTCCGTTGGGGTTGGTCCAGATGTTTGTATGCTGCCTTCCTGGCTCAGGCCAAGCTTGCTGAGTTGCTCCTCCTTTGTGCAGGGAGAGAGCGGTGCAGATGCTATGTGCTGGCTGTGCACAGCGTGCCTTGGACTTGATTTTCCTCTCTCCATCTTCCATTAGCAAACAGCATTTCAAATCTTTCCTTGTGAAAAAATCACCTAGGTAAAAAAGAATTGGCAATCTTGATTTTAAGATTTCCTCATTTATACAACTTGATGTTTTAAAGCAGAAGCTCACCTAGCAATGACCTACCTTAGACAAGCCCAACCTGCAGGGAAAAGTCATTCCTCTGGGTGCAGAGTCTGCAGACACATTTCCAAGTCCAAGTGTCAGCCCACTTCTCAGCACAGCTTTACCAACCACAGAAATCCAGTTGATGCCTGCCGTGCTTTTCTCCCTTCTGAAACACTGCATCGCTGCAAGAAGCAAAGATTAAAATTACAGAACCACAGAATTGGGGTTGCAGGGGACCCCCAGTGATCATTGAGTCCAAGCTCCCTGCAAAACGGGCTCCCTACAGCGGGCCGCGCAGGTGGGTGTCCAGACAGGTCTGGAATATCTCCAGACAAGGAGAAGCCACAGCCTCCCTGGGCAGCCTGTTCCAGCGCTCCATCATCCTCGCCGTGAAGAAGATCCTTTGCATTTTGATGCAGAACTTCCTGTGCTCCAGTTTGTGGCCATTTCCCCTTCTCCTGTCCCCACAGATCGCTGACAAGAGGTTGGCCGTGTCCTTTGGACTCTCACACTTAACAAATACGTAAGCATTAATCAGATCTGCTCTCAGTCTTCTTTCCTCAAGGCTGAACAGACCCAGGTCCCCCAGCCTTTCCATACCGAGGAGATGCTCCAGGCCCTTTATCATCTTCCTGGCCTTCTGTTGGACTCTCTCCAGGAGATCCTTGTCATTTCTGTACCAGGAAGGGAGCCCAGAACTGCATGCAGTACTGCAGGTGAGGCCTGACCAGGCCAGAGCAGAGTGGGAAAATCACCTCCCTTGCTCAGCTGGCCGCGCTCCTTTTAAAGCGCCCCAGGATGCCATTGGTCTTCTTGGCCAGCAGGGCACACTGCTGGCTCACGGCCAATCTGTCGTCCACCAGCACCCCCAGGTCCTTCTCTGCAGAGCTCCTCTCCAGCCGGTCACATCCTAAGCTTACTGATATTTGCAGTTATTCCTTCCCAGGTGCAAGACTCTACACTTGCTTTTGTTCCACCTCACCTGGTTTGTTTCTGCCCAGCTCTCCATCCTGTCCAGATCTTGCTGAATGGCAGCACAGCCTTTCAGCGTGCCAACCACTTCTCTCCCAGCTTTGTCTCATCAGTGCACTTGCTAAGGGTGAACATATCCCCTCATCAAGGTCATTGACAAAGATATTGAACAAGACCTTGAGAGAAACACTCAAAGTCACCAGTTTCAGCTTAGGCAAGGATCTTAGTGATAGCAGCAAAGTTTATTCGTTATTGCAATAACAGGCACACGCTCCCTGTTAATAAGGGAAAAAATGCACATCGGTCAGAGAAATTCATTCTGTTCTGTACTCTGAACCCGACGCAGGCAATGCTCTCCTGGCACTCACTGGTTGAGCTCTAGGCTCACAATCTCCCCGACGCTGTTGCTATGATGTAGTTCCATATAAGGTCCATTACCAACCTGCTCTTTTTGGTATGTTTTGTACTTCTCTATGGAGATACGAGGGCCATATTTCCAAGAGTGTGCACATTTGTTCTGTCCTGTGCCGAGCTCCCTCTCTCTCTCCACCCTGCATATTTGCCTTATTTTGTGCCTGGCTCAATTCCACCCCAATCAGAACACCCCGAATCTTTAACTTTCTACTCTGCTCTGCAACTTTCTTAGTGGAAGGCAAACAGCTCTTCCACAAGAGGGCTGCAAGTTCAGTAAAGCCAGCACTACATACAGAAAATACTCAAAGCTTCTACAGCACAAACACAATCTACCTTTCACAACCAGACCCAGCACCAACCCCCGGGAGCACCGCCGCTCACAGCTCTCCAGCCGCACTCTGCGCCACCGATCACCACCACTGAGCTCAGCCAGTAAACCTGTTCTCAGCCCACCTCATCATCCACTCCTCTATCCCACACTTTCTCAGCTTCATTACCAGGATGACGTGGGAGACTGTAACAAAACATTGCTGAAGTCAAGGTAGGCGACATCCACTGCAGTACCTGAAATAGTCCTTCCCACTCAGGCTGAAGCCTTGATTTCTGCCAGGCGCGTATTAGGACCAGTCTCCAACACGGGATGAGTGCACTGGAAATTCCAGAGGTGGAGTTTGAGCCAACAGCCCACATCCCTTAAGGAATAACAGAGCAGCAGACAACCCGAGTACACAGTTCTGGAGAAACTTACCCTTGGTTTCAAGAGCGGGCATCTCACCATTCCCAAGTACGGCCACCCAAACAGCACTTCGTGTGCTGATACTCCTAAGCCTTTTCTGTGAGTGGTTCGTGTTCTGACAAGGGCTACAGGCAAACACTTTGTCCATGGTAATTTGGTCTCTGAAACCAATTTTGACAAGTGCTTCTTCAGCATCTGATTGATTCATTCTACTTTCCCTGAAGAAGGAGGGTGCCACAGAGTATGGAGCTCCCACTTTATTTCTAAAGTTCTCATCAGCTTCTGTAGGACCTGTGAAGTCAAGAGGCTTCCCTTATCTGAGTCCATATTCTGCACAATCCCACATCTAGAGATTGTGTCGGAATGTAGAGTCCTCAGTGCAGAAGAGACATGGACCTGTTGGATCATATCAGAGGATGGCCACAAAAAAAAACAGAACCAAGGGATCAAACAGCTCTCCTCCAAAGACAGGCTGAGAGAGCTGGGCTGTTCAACCTGGAGAAGCGAAGGCTCGGAGGTGACCTGGTAACAGCCTTTCGATACCTAAAGGGAGCTAAAGGAAAGAAGAAGGGAAAACTTAGGTTAGATGTAAGGAAAATGTCTTTTTACAGCAAGGGACAAAGGGAAATGGTTTTAAATTGATGGAGGGGAGATTGAGGTTGGATGTCAGGGGGAAGTTCTGTGCTGTGAGAGCGGTGAGGTGCTGGAACAGCTGCCCAGAGAGGCTGTGATGCCCCGTCCATCCCTGGAGGTGTTCAAGGCCAGGTTGGATGGGGCCCTGGGCAGCCTGGGCTGCTGTGAAACAGGGAGGTTGGTGGCCCTGCGTTGGCGGGGGGCTGGAGACTCGTGGGCCTCGAGGTCCCTTCCAACCCGGGACATTCTGTGATTCTGGGCAGTGGAACAGGCTGCACAGAGAGGCGGTGGATGCCCTGTCCCTTCCAAGGTGAGGCGGGATCAGGCCCTGGGCAGCCCGATCGAGCTGTGGATGTCCCTGTTCCTTGTGGGAAGTCAGACTAGATCATCACAAACAGTCCCTTCCGACTCTAAGGAGTCTATGGCATGATACCTGAAGCAGTGAGGCACGACGACACAAAGGACATCGATGGCCTGGTGAGCAATCAGGGCAGGCGGGGAAGCCTGCGTGCTCAACAGCACCAGGGAAACTCACCAAGCAGTCCAACCAGGAAGATCCACGTCGGCCACAGAGCCTCTCAGTGCCGGCCCCAGCATTCAGCACACCAGAGGAATTGCTGCATCGCACTGCTGGGTGCCACGGCTGCAGGGGGGCAGGGATGGAAGGAAGAGGGCTGGGAGGTTGGGTGGCGTCCAGACTGGGAAACTGACAGCATCCCCTGATGGCCGGGATGGAGATATCTGCGGTGATCCAGACACAGCGCTCCAGCAGAGGACGGCCCTTTGTTTCCTATCAATACAAAGCCACATCTGCCAGCACGACTGAAAGAGCCCTGAGAGCCTGGGGGGGTCGGCCACAAGGCGCTCGCAGAGCCGAGCCCTGACACCTTTGCTGCCAACCAATTCCTAAGGGAGATCTGGGAGAGAACCAGGCCAACCAGGAACTGAATCCTTGTGCTCAGTATTCTCGAGCAGCGCAGAGCGGACGGCGCTGGGTGAGGATGAAGCAAACGGCCGCTGGGGCCCGGGGGTTTCCTGCAGCTCAGCTCCCAGCCACAACCACGCACCTCGCTCTATCGCCAGCCACGGAGCTCATGGGGCTGCAAGGACAAAGGGCAGGGAGCAGGGCGAGCCCTGGGGACCAACCCCCATTGCATCTCCAAGGGAGCTGCCCACAGCCAGCCCAAAACCCACCCGCATACAAGCAACGTGTAAACAAGGGGTTCCTGCCGTTCCAGCGTCCGCCCCACAGATTGCACAGCGCTGCAACCACCAACCAGAGGAGCCCCAGAAACCCTTCGACCCCATTGAGCCGCAAAACAGAAGGAGATCCAACGAGACGCGGAACGGAATTGAAATGCGTGCCCTCAAACAACACTCAGCATGGGTGGAATGAATGCGTGGCACAGGAGGCGCAGAGGGGACACGGGCAGAGGACGCAGGGAGGACACGAGGACACAGAGGGAACGTGTCATAAAATGGGCTGCGGCAACGTGGGAGCAGACGGAGTGAGTTTGGAGGCCCAGGTTGGAGATCCCACAATGAGAATCACGAAAGAGGGAACAGAGACGTCACAAGAAGGTGTTGAGCTTAGAAAGAGTTGCAGAGGAACTCTGCAGAACACAGAATCCCTTTACAGAACAGAGCATCAGCTCCAGGCATTTCTGGAGTCCCAACGCTCAGTCACCCAACCAGCGTCACCTTAGGGCTGACTGAAGCATTCCCAAAACAGATGAGAGCAAAAGAAAGGAACGTCCATCAGTCCCTCCGTTAGCAGTTCAGAGAAAGGCAGAGAACCCCTTGACTGCCCTCAGAGAACAAGTGGAAGGCATCAGAAGCAGAGGCAGAGCTGACAGAGCTACCGTAAACCAGCTGACAATCCCCACAGAAAGGCAGAGACCAAAACCCCAACAGCCATCAAGAAAGAATTGCTGACCTCTTCCCACGAACCAGAGCTCACCCAGCAACCCACAGGAGGCATCTCCAGGAAGAAACCCTGCCTGTGGGGCTGCCAGCCCTTAAGATGATATGAGGGAGGGGTGGAGCCAGGCTCAGCCCCATCTGCCCCACGGCTGCATTGCTTCCACCTGTGCAGGCAGGGCTGCACCCCTCACCAGGTGCTCCATCACTGCTTCCGGCTGTGATCTCAAAGTTCCCCTAAAAGCAGGAAGGAAAAAATGAAGTAAAAAAAAAAAAAGTCATGACCGGCAGCCAATTGGGTCTGCCTGTGTGGCAAGGGGAGGTTTATCCACGGACGAGCGAGGACGGTCCACGTACTTTGCTTCCAGTCTGTCCTCCATGGCAATTGCTGACATTTGTAATAAATAGGGGAGCACAGATTTCAGTGCTGATACAGCGAGGTGCTGAGAAGCTGCACGTGCAGCACAAGGGCTGAGATGAGCGGCGTCAATGGAGCGAGTGCTGGCTGCCCAGCTGCCAGGCTCAGCTTACGGCTCCCCAGGGAGAAACGCACGTCATCTCCTCACACAGCAATTAAAGGCCGCTGTGACATCATTGGAGGGTTTGGTGTCCTCAGGGGGTGACCCTGGCACCTGCCTGTATGGCAGCGTGTGGCCTTTGGGCTCCAACAGCAATCCAAACCCCACAGAAACAGAGAGGGACCCAGAAAGCCCCTCAGTGACCTGGGAGCCACAAGGGCCCCACAGGTGGCACCGCAGGGACCCACAAATGACCCACAGCAGCCTGTGACCCACAAGTGACCCACAGGGACCCACAAGTGCCTCGCAAGGGACAAACAACTGAACCACAAGTGCCCCATAAGTCCCCCATAATTGACCCATCAGCGTCCCATAAGTGCCCCACGAGTGTCCTGTCACCCACAAGTGCCCCCTAGTGCCCCACAAGTGACTCACAAGTGGCACAGCATGGACCCACAAGTGAGACACACGGCCCCAGAAGTGCCCCACAGCAGCCTGGGACCGTTAACTGGCAAAGGGACCAGGAATTGACCCATAAGTACCCCCACAAGCGGGGCAGCAGGGACCCACAAATGACTGACAGCAGCCTGGGCCCCAAAAGTGACACATCAGTGCCCCACAAGCGCCGCATAAGCGACCCACAGGTCCCACATCTGCTCCCACGGCTGCCTTGCTTCCACCTGTGCTCACAGGGCTGCACCCTTCACAAGCTGCTCCAGCACTGCTTCACATGCACTCCCCGTACAACTCGCCCACCACCCCATTTTGGGGGCACCGACCCCCACCCCGCTGTCACAGCCGTGCGCCGAGGGCACCATCACCCCACCGCGCACGGCCATCAGCTCCTCCCAGCACTCCACGCGCCCCACGGGCAGCCCCCAATGCGCGGAACTGCCGCCGCCTACCGCCGAATCCCGGCATCGATCCGGCAGGAAAGTTCTTGCCGTGGTCTCTGCTGCCACCGCGTGGCCAACGCGCGGAACTGCCGCTGCCTGCCGCCGAGTCCACCCGCGGCAAAACACATGCGCCCAGAAATGCGGAAGTGCCGATCTAACCGCTCTGCGCAGCTCATCCGCCGCTCTCTATGGTGATTAGTCCTCCGGCTAACAGCGAATATACGCCCGTCACCTTCAAAACAGCAGCTGTCTCGAAAAACCACTACGGCTACGGGCAAGCAGCCGATTCCGGGCCGCCGGCTCAGCGATATATTCTCCCCCGCTAATCCAGGATGCCCCTCGTCTATTTCCGCCGTTTGATGCCCGAGCCCACCCGGGAACGGAAACGGACCGGTTCGGCTCACAGCTGCCCCTCAGCGCCTCGTGGCATCCAACTCGCTCGCCTCCCGCTGAACCAGCAAACGTCCCCTTCGAACCGTAGCCCTGCACCGTCCCCCAGCCGTTTAAAAGCCCCCGCAGCAGCAGTGCAACGCTGCTCGGAGCGACTCGGAGCGGCTCGGAGCTGCTCGGAAGGACTCGGAGCGGCTCGGAAGGACTCGGAGCGAGCGGCTCGGAGCTGCTCGGAAAGACTCGGAGCGGCTCGGAACGGCACGAAAGCGGCTCAGAGCGGCACGAAAGCGGCTCGGAGCGAGCGGCTCGGATCTGCTCGGAAGGGCTCGGAACGACTTGGAGGGGCTCGGAGCTGCTTGGAAGGACTCGGAGCGGCACGAAAGCAGCGCGGAGCTTCTCCGAGGTTCTCGGAACGACTCGCAGCGGCTCGGAGCTCCTCGGAGGGACTCGGAGCGGCGCGAAAGCGGCTCGGAGCGGCTCGGAGCTTTTCCGAGGGGCTCGGAAAGACTCGCAGCAGCTCGGAGCTACTCGGAAGGACTCGGAGCAGCTCGGAAGGACTCGGAGCCGCTCGGAACGGCGCGAAAGCTGCTCGGAGCTTCTCCGAGAGGCTCGGAGCTCCTCGGAGGGGCTCGCAGCGGCTCGGACGGGCTCGGAGCTGCTTGGAGCAATTCGCAGCGGCTCGGAGGGGCTCGGAGCGGCTTGGAGTTGCTCGGAGGGGCTCGGAGCGACTCGCAGAGGCTCGGAGATTCTCGATCGCGTTACCGGTGTGCAGCAGCACCGACACGAGCATGTCTCGGGAAAGCAATACATCTGAGCAAATCCGGGCTCTGTAACGCGCTATATATACGCGCCGGTTTCTGCCACGCGAGGCGCGTACGCCAGCCGCGGAACGGTAGTACGCATGCGCCAGCTCTGCACCGAGCACCGAACAACGTATGCGGCTTCTTGGCACAGCACTGCGCATGCGTCGGTCATTGCGTGCAGCCCGCATGCGTCGACTTCCTGCACGCAGTACCCATGCGCTTTCCTGGACATCGCACTGCACATGCGTCAGTTTCCTCACCGCAGAGCGCATGCGCAATTCTCCTCGCTGCGGCGCGCATGAGGCAAGTCCAGACAGGACTCTTTCGTGCAAAATTCACATCTGCTTTTCCATGCGCGTTGTTGGGCACGGATTGGTTACGCGGGGACATAAGAGACCGCGGAAAAAAGTTGGACGCAGTTCCACACAGGGGCAGCGCAGAGAGAGGAAAAAACTTGGTTGCAGTTCCGCATATCGGCCACACGAGGGCAGTGCAGAGAACGCGGAGAAAACTTCTTTGCAGTTCCGTATATCGGCCACACGGGAGCAGCACATAGAGCGGAAAAAACTTGGTTGCAGTTCCGCGTATCGGCCACACGGGGGCAGTGCAGAGACAACGGAAAAAACTTCGTTGCAGTTCCGCGTATCGGCCACACGGGGGCAGTGCAGAGACAACGGGATAAAACTTCGTTGCAGTTCCGCATATCGGCCACACGGGGGCAGTGCAGAGACAACGAAAAAAACGTCGTTGCAGTTCCTCATATCGGCCACACGGGGGCAGTGCAGAGACAACGGAAAAAACTTCGTTGCAGTTCCGCATATCGGCCACACGGTGGCAGTGCAGAGACAACGGAAAAAACTTCGTTGCAGTTCCGCATATCGGCCACACGAGGGCAGTGCAGACACAGCGGAAAAAACTTCGTTGCAGTTCCGCATATCGGCCACACGGGGGCAGCGCAGAGAGCGGAGAACACTTCGTTGCAGTTCCGCTTCTTGGCCACACGAGGGCAGCACGGACCTCGAAATGAAATTCCAATGCGTGAAAACACAGAAAAGAAATTGGGGGGAAGGGAGACGGCGAAGAAAACGAGCAAAACTTGGACAAAGCCAGCAAGCTTG